CCAGAGAAAATTCAGAAAATCCCATTTTTCAAAATAATCAAAGACTCATGAAATTTGAGAATTGAGAAAATTAGAAAATCCGATTTTCCAGCAAATACGAAATCTCGAAGCCTGAAAACATCCATTTTCCAAATTTCAGAAATGTTCGGAAATTTACAAATCTGGAGAATCAAAAAGGCAGAACCCATGGGTTTCAGACCAATCGAAAATTTCTAGAAATCTGAAAATCGAGAGAATTCCATAAAACTAAAAATTCCAGAAATTTGCAAGATCGAGAACTCTGCAAAGCGAGAAAATCTGGGGATTCATAATCTTTAGAATTCCCCAAATCTGGGATTTTGTGCCTCGTAGTTAAGGCGCCCGGTGCCGTGGCATAGGTTTCTCGCTGTTCATCTTCGTCCCCGGGCGGCACCTTTTTTTGTATTTTCTTCCTTTTCAACGGCGTTTTTCGGGGATTTCGGATTTTTTTTTGAATTTTTTCGCAATAATATTCGAAAAATAGATAACTTTTAACACATTTTAATGCAATAAAAATTTCTAGTCGGAGTCCCCCTTTAAGTTTTCTAAGATCTTCGAAACATCTGAATTTCAGAATTTTCGAAGTTTTGAGCTTCTCGTGTTTCAGAATTTCGCTTTTTAAAAATAATGAACTTCTGAGTTTTCTGAAATTTCAGGATTTCCGAACTTTAGAATTATCTGAAATTCGGAATATCGAAATTTTCGAATTTTAGAATTTGAGAAAAAAAAATTACAGACTTTGGAATTTTCAAGTTTTTCTGAATTTCTGAATTTCTGAATTTCTGAATTTCTGAATTTCTGAATTTCTGAATTTCTGAATTTCTGAATTTCTGAATTTCTGAATTTCTGAATTTCTGAATTTCTGAATTTCTGAATTTCTGAATTTCTGAATTTCTGAATTTCTGAATTTCTGAATTTCTGAATTTCTGAATTTCTGAATTTCTGAATTTTTAAGTTTCTGAATTTTTAAATTTCTGAATTTTTAAATTTCTGAATTTCTGAATTTTAGAAATTTGTGTTGTCTAACTTTTGAGGATTCTCCGAATTTTCGAGTTTTTTGGGATTTTTGAATTTCCAGATTCTTCTGAATTTCTGAATTTCTGAATTTCTGAATTTCTGAATTTCTGAATTTTTGAATTTCTGAATTTCTGAATTTTTGAATTTCTGAATTTCTGAATTTCTGAATTTCTGAATTTCTGAATTTCTGAATTTCTAATTTCTAAATTTCTGAATTTCTGAATTTCTCTGAATTTCTGAATTTTTGAATTTCTAAATTTCCGAATTTTCAAAAAAAGATTTTTTTTAAAAATCACCATTTGAATTTTCCGAAGTTTCAGAACCTTCGAATTTTGGAATTTTTAAGTTTTCTGAAGTTGCAGAGTCGTATATTTTTTTCATTTTGGAATTGGCTGAAAAATTCAGAAACTTCGATTCTCACAGAAGTCTCAAATCTATTATATACTAACTTCAGGAATTTTTGAATTTTCGAATTTTTCGAAAATTTCAAATTTCTCATAAAACCCCCTATCGAACTGTGTAATTTTCATGAATTTTGAACAATTCCTAGTGGAATCACACCATTTTTCCCGAAATTCTCAATAGAGCGCACTTGCCAAAAACTCACAATTACTGGAACACAATCCAGATGCTTTCAAAAATTCACATCCTTTCCAATAAGTCGTCCGAGATTCCCCAATTTTGTCGTTTTTCCCTTCATCCTCGATTAATGGCTCCTTTTCCAGACGGCATGGCTGCAAATTTTTTTTTTTAATTCTCAATGGAGCGCATTTTCCTATTGTACCTGTCCTACAGATGTTTGAGGCTCCGGTGGTGGAGCACTAACGTAGATATGATGGGTCTCGCGATTCTCCCCATCTTGAGTCATCTGGAAAAATTAATTAAGAATTTGGAAATTAGAAAATTTGGAGAAAAAGGAAAAATAAGAAAATTGAAAAAAATGAAAGTTTGGAATTTTAGAAATCTACAAATTCCTGGAAATCAAAAACCGAGAATCTAGAAATTTCCAGATTTCTTCAAAAATTGGAAAACAAAAGAAGAAATTGAGGTTTTCCAAAAAATACAGTAATATAGAAATGAAAAATTCTAGAAATCTGAAAACTCAAACTTTTCGAATTTCAGAAAATTTTGAGATTTCGAAATTTGGATATCGAGAAGTCTGAAAATTCTAAATAGGCCAGCTTTGATTCAAGAAAAATAAGAATTCCCAGAAATTTAAAAACAAAAAACTTCTGAATTTCAAAAATCTGAAAATCCAGAGAAAATTCAGAAAATACCATTTTTCAAAATAATCAAAAACTCATGAAATTTGAAAATTGAGAAAATTAGAAAATCCGATTTTCCAGCAAATACGAAATCTCGAAACCTGAAAACATCCATTTTCCAAATTTCAGAAATGTTCGGAAATTTACAAATCTGGAAAATCAAAAAGGCAGAAACCATGGGTTTCAGAACAATCGAAAATTTCTAGAAATCTGAAAATCGAGAGAATTCCATAAAACTAAAAATTCCAGAAATTTGCAAGATCGAGAAATCTGCAAAGCGAGAAAATCTGGAAATTCATAATCTTTAGAATTCAAAAAATCAGAAATTTAGTAACTCTGAAATTCTGAAAATTCGAAAAAAATCAAAATTTCGAAGAATTTCAGATTTTTCAGAGTAAAAAACCCAAATTATTTTTTTTCGACCTCCTCTCATTTCATGTCAAAATGATGAGTAAAAAAACGAGGCGACAAAAAAAAGTGAAAATGAGAACAAAAAAATCGTCGATGATTTTTTTTCGAGGTAAACAAAAATAGCGTAGAGAATTGAGAGACGCAGAGAAAAGAGAAGAAAATAGAGAAAAGAGCCGTCACACACACACGATGAAAACTCTTCTTGAAAACAAAAAGAAGCGTCGTCGTCGACGTCTTCTGAAATTCTAGTGAAGGAGGCTATTACGATTTCTTTAGGAATTCATGGAAATTCGAAATTAAGAAATTCAGAAATTCAGAAATTTAGAAATTCAGAAATTCAGAATCTCAGAATCTCAGAAATTCAGAAATTCAGAAATTCAGAAATTCAGAAATTCAGAAATTAAGAAATTCAGAAATTAAGAAATTCAAAAATTCAGAAATTCAGAAATTCAGAAATTCAGAAATTCAGAAATTCAGAAATTCAGAAATTCAGAAATTCAGAAATTCAGAAATTCAGAAATTCAGAAATTCAGAAATTCAGAAATTCAGAAATTCAGAAATTCAGAAATTCAGAAATTCAGAAATTCAGAAATTCAGAAATTCAGAAATTCAGAAATTCAGAAATTCAGAAAAACGGAAGGTCGGAGTCCCCCTTTAAAATTTCAGAGATTTGGGAATTCAGAAATTCGAAAAATCAGAAACTTCCAGACAAGTCAGTTATTTCAAAATCTGGAATCCCATAGATTTTTCCAGATTTGGATATTCAGATATTTCGAAATTTCAGAAAATTCTCGGAAATATTGGATTTCTAAGATTTAGCAACTGTTTCAAAAATTTGGAAAAAGGTCCAATTTTAAAAAATCCTAGAAACCATTTTCGAAATCTTCAATTTCCAAAGTCTTAACCATTATCTTTTTTCTCATATATATTCCCATTTTCCAATTCATTTTTCCTCCTTCCTCGTCAATCTCCATTGTCAATAGATAAATGACCAAAATTTTCTCTCAAAATCTCCCGCTGTGCCCAAACCGCCCACATTCATAGCTAGCTAGCTACTGCCCTCATAAATCAAATCATTCATCATTATTCTTGATTGCTAATCCAAAAAATGATGCCTTCTACAGTATCCCTAACATCCGCATCCGGAACAATGTGCCGAATTTGCCACGTGTCGTCGTCGACTCGTTCCAACCCTCTGATCTCTCCTTGTCGATGCTCCGGAACGTTGCTCTTTGTGCACAAAGCGTGTGTTGTGGTGAGTTTTTTTCCTTGAAAAATGAAATTTACAGCAGAAATTGATTCCGAGCCCTCAAAAAATCAGCGAAAACCTCTACTAGAAAAATTGGCGTCCCAGGCGATCCTTCTAGGGACCCATAACTTTGAGCTCAATTTTCTCGGTTTCTATTAAAGAAATCAAAAAATTATTAACCAACAAAATGTTTAACATAATGACAGCTACACTTTATCAGTTGACCAATTTTTGATATATTTTACAGTAACCTAGATAATCGAGTTCAAAGTTAGAGGACCATCAAAATACTAGATTTACGGATATCGTTCTATCCTTGTACTTTGACCTTGATTATTTCAAATTCTCTGAAAGATGTCAAAAAGTGACCAACTGATAAAATATGTATCATCATTCAATTAACATTTTATCAGTTTACAACTTTTTGATATCTTTTACAGGAAACGAGATAAATCTGATCAAAGTTAGAAGCCTGATTCCAAGACACCCAAAATTTATAAAATTTTCAACAAAAAAAATGGAAATTATCGCTTTAATTAAATTAATACGGTAGCAACTTCAAATTGGTCCGGCTTTTCTGAAATTTTCAGAATATACTCATTAAAACTAGAGCTGCATTTTTGTTGTTGACAACTTTTTTGTAAAATTTCATCCTGGGAAGATATAGGGCTTCAAAAAGGCATGCGTCTTGAAATTTTCAAATTTGGTGCCGCGAAATTTGATTCAGTTTTCAAACGCTTATAATTCAGTCATTTTTTAGCCAAAATTATTGAACTATTTACTATTTAATTGGAAATTTTATAGGCTTTAATATTGCAATTGGTCACTTTTTCCAAAAATTTTAATTTCGGTTAGCAAATGCGCTCCAACGAGAACGCTCTCTTAGATTCACCAAAATCGGTCTGCTTTCAGTGGTTTTAGTCTCATTTTGTTAGAACTTTTGAGACCAAAAAAATTAATTAGCCTGCTAATTACCCTACTAATAATAAAAATAAAACATTTTCAGAAATGGCTGGAAATGTCGACGCGAAAGATGGTGCCATCACCCCGATGCGAACTGTGTGGATATGATTTTAAGCGAGGAAATATATTTCAAATGAAATCTCTTCATGTACCAATTGTGGATCGAGCCTCATGTCTTTTGAATGTTTTATTCCTGATCACTATTCTGATTATGATATTTTGCGGGTATTTTACGATTCAATTCATTCAGGAGAATGCGTTGTTGAAGCGGAGGTTAGTTTAGAAATCGCTAGAAAAATCTAGAAATCAAGAGATTCAAAAAAACTGAAAATCCGGAAGATTTTAGAAAATCCAAAACTCTAGAAAATTCTCAAAATCTTGACAAATGCGCTCTACTAAGATTCAGTTTGAGAAATTTGTAAAATTTTGAGAATTTCGAAGTTTTGAAAATCTTAAAATACCGTCTGTGAGAGATATCAAAAAATGGTCAATTGATAAAATGTGGCTGATATCATGATGAATATTTCATCAGTTTACAACTTTTTATATCTTTTAAGAGAAGTGAAATATATAAGCTCAAAGTGGACGGTCCCGGTGACATTCTATTAGAGTGTTTACGGCATAAATATGCGGTAATTTTTGGAAATACAAAACTTCAAGAAACCCCAGGAATCCTTAAAAATGTCGAACATCAAAGAAAGTTCTGAATTTCTGAAAACCTGATAATCTGAGAATTAGAAATTCTGAAGCTCCAGAAGACTCAAAATTCAGAAATTTGGAATTCATAGAAATTCAAAAAATTTCAGAAATTCAGAAATTCAGATATTCAGAAAACCAGAAATTCAGAAATTCTGATATTCTGTGTTTCAGAAATTCAGAAAATTTAGAAGATTCCTAAATTTTCTAGAAGTTGGGAATTTCAGAAAGTTTCAATATTCAGAAAATTATGAAAATCGTAAAATTCTTTGAAAATTCTGAAATTTAAATTTGAAAAATTTAACAAAGATTTTAGAAATTTCAGAAAATTAAGATCCTGAAACTCTGAAAATCATGATCAGTTTCCGATTATTTTTTTTCAAAATTCTCAGTTTCTGAATTTCCCTTTTTACTCCTAAAAACAGAATCTAAATCAAAAACTTCTCTAAATTTCCAGATTATTCACCCACGCCTCGACAAACACTGCATACACCTGGAAGCGCCGCGGCTATTTCAGTGGCAATGGAGCGAACAGTGCAGACGGTTCGGATGTCTCTGATGGATACTTCTCAAGAACTCCCGTTTCTTCCCTTTTCGATATTAAAGTGGTCATGTGTGCCAGCATGTTCCTAATCTCCTTCATTTTGGCACTTTTCACGCAGTACAAGTGAGTTAATAATGGCAGAGGGAAAGTGCGCTCCATGGATAATACGCTCCACGGATGGACAGTGGAGCGCGTTTGCTTTTTGATTTCTCAATGGAGCGCATTTTCAGTTATTGAGCGCACTTTGAAAAAATGTTGTTAATGGAGCGCGCTTGCCTTATTTTTCGTTGGAGCGCATTTGGTGATATCGGCTAATTAGAACTCTTGGTTTTTATCTATAGAGCGCGAATTCAACAATTTTTGAAAACTAAAAATAAAACCGAAAATTGAGATCATTTGGATTTTCTCAATGGAGCGCATTTTCTACAAAATTAATGTTTTTTTACAGAGCCGAGTCTACAGTATTCCGATGCATTTTTCGATTTTTTGTGATCAATCAGAATTGGATGATTAAAGATTATGATATTAAGTGAGATTTTATAATTTTTTTGGAAATTTTTAAATATTCAATAAACGCAAATTTTGAGAGTTTTTCAATTTTTGAGATTCCTGGTGCTTCTGAATTCCTGAATTCTTGAAATTTTGAATTTCTGGATTCGCAAATTTTTGAATTTTAGCATTTTCCAAATTTCTGATTCGCTGAATTGCAGAATTTCAAATTTTCTGGAATTTCAAAAAAACGGAAAATTTCAAAAATAAACTGAAAAATTTTTTGAGTTTTCTGGAATTTCATAAAATTTCGAAAAGTAAGAAAAATTCAAAAATTTGAATTTTCGATTCTTCCTGGAATTTCTGAATTTTCGTATTTTCGAGAAAATAAATTTTTTTGAACTTCAGAATCTCAAAATTTCTATTTTTTCGAATTTTCAAATTTCAGAATTTCAGAATTTCTGAATTTTCTGAATTCCAGAATTTTTGAATTTTTGAATTTCAGGATTTTTAAATTTTCTGGAATTTCCGAATTTCTGAATCTCTGAATTTGTCTGAATCTCTGAATTTGAATTTCCTGAATTCTCTGAATTTCCTAATTTCAGTTTTTCAGAATTTTTGGAATTTCAGAATTTCTCAATCTGTGAATTTTTGGATTTCCAGATTTTTCGGAATTACTGAACTTTATCGAAATTCTGATTTTTCGAATTTTTGTAATTCTGAATTTCTTCCAATTTCGAAATTTCGATTTTCAGAATTTTTGAAACTCGAATTTCTAAATTTTCGAGAATTTTCAGAATTTCGAAATTTCCGGATTTCTAAACTTTCGAAATTTCGAATTTCCAAATTCCTATACTTCCTGAATTTTCCAAAACTTCCAGAAACGACCCCGAAATGGCTCATCGTCGTCTTCAGAAGACGTCAACGTCGCCCGCGTCACCGCCAGTGGCTCTTTCGGCTTCCGATATGTGTCTAAATGTGTCTGCGTAGCTGAAACTTTTCTTTTTTTCAAATTTCCCAATTTCCCCTGTTCCATAAAGCTCCATTCTTTCCAATTCTTCCCAACTAAATTCCGGGTTCCCATTTGTCTATTTTTCCCCTAAATTGTTGCAAGTGCGCTCTATTGAAATTTGTTATCAATAGAGCGTATTTGCTTTTTTCTTGTAATTGTTCTATGTCTCAGGACGTCTTTTCTGTAATAAAGTTCAATTTTTCACGAAATTTAGGCCAAAAATGCATAGATTTACAAAAAAAGGCATCAGAAAATATCACAATTTGAAAAATACACAAAAAATTAGGGGAATTTTAGGGGGTCTCAATTTACAGCTATTTAGAGGGAAATTCAAATTTTTAGGATTAAAAATAGGGTTGAAGGGCAAAAAATCGATCAATAATTCAAGCACTATGCGCCTTCTGGAACTCGTTCATCCACGTGGCAAGCACTTGAGTCTCCTCCAACGTAATCGCATTGTACAACGAGGCACGAATGCCGCCAACCGATCGATGTCCCTTTAAACTGATCATGTTCCTCTCGGCGGCTCCTTTCAAGAATTCCGCCTCCAAATCCTCGTTTCCAGCGGCGCCACCGATTCGGAAGCACACGTTCATGATGCTACGGTAGCTTTTGTCGACGGCGCAGTGATAGAATCCGTTCGAGTTATCAATGATACCGTAGATGAGGCCGGATTTCTGGAGGTTCAATTCGTAGATCGCCTGGAGGCCACCCTTGGATTTGATCCATTTCAAGACGAGATTCGTGGTGTAGATTCTGGAAAAAAAACATTAAAAATTGATTTTTTGAGTCAGCATTATCAGTAGAACGCACTTTCTTAAAATAGAGTTGATAGCTCATGAAATGTTCTATCAAATGATGTAAAATCCAAAAGTTTTCGCTGAAAAGAACTGCCTATTTTTAGCGATTTTCCAGTGATTCTCATTGGAGCGCACTTGCTGAGTAAAATTCAAATTTTCGAAAAATTGCTCAATTGCATTAATAAAGCCTATGAAATTTCCTATCAAATGGTAAAAAATTCAATGATTTTGGTCGAAAAATGGCTGAATTATAAGAGTTTGAAAAAGCGGAAATTTTTTGGCGCCAAATTTGAAAATATCGAGACTTATGTCATTTTCTAAGCCCCATATCTTCCCAGGATAAAATTTTACAAAAAAGCGGTCAACTACAAAAATGAAGCCCTAGTTTTAATTAGTATATTCTGAGAAGTTCAGACAAATCGAACGGCATTGAACTACCGTAAACCCTGTATTAGGAGAGCCCTCACACTGTCCACTTTGAGCTCATTTATCTCGGCTCCTATGGCTCCTATGAGAGATATCGAAAATGTATAAATTGATAAAATATTTGTGATGTTATGATAAAAAATTTATCAGTTGGCATCTTTTTCATATCTTTGACAAGAACAGAGATATATTGGCTTGAAGTTGAAGCTCATGGGGCCCTTCTATTAGAGATTTTACTTTCGTAGAGTTTCGAACTTTTAGAAAATCGGGGATTTTGGATCGAAAACCTCATTTTTCTGTTCAAACATCCTGATTATAATTTAGAAAACCTTGATTTTTAGAACTAAAAATTTTTTCCAGATCCAAAAAAATCGAATTTCTTACCCTCCAGTCGGTGGTGTATTGTACAAACTGTTGTTGGCAATCATCTCCTTATAACTGAACACGGCTGGGGTGATCGCTTGTTGCTTTCCGATGAGATCCTTCCGAACGATGACGATCGTCAGGCCGGCGGCACCGAGATTCTTCTGCGCTCCACCGAAGACGACGCCGTGCTGAAAAAGAAAGGGAATTCAGAATTTTCCAGAATCCGCCAAAATCATTCAGAATCTCCTAGGATTCTCCAGAAGCCTTCAGGATCTCACAGGATTTTAAGGACCTCCCAGAATCCGTCAGGATACTCTAGAATCTCCCAGAATCCTACAGAAAACTTTGGAATCTTCTAGATTCCTTCAGAATCTGTCAGGATCCTTGAGAATCCTCTAGAATCCTTCAGATGCCTTTAGAAGCTTCTAGAATCCTCTATATGCCTTCAGAATCCCTCAGAATCTTTCAGAAACCTCACAGGATTCCTATGGGGCCTAAAAACCTAACAAACGAGACTTCCGCATTTCGATTCCGTCAGAATTATTCTAGATGCTTTCAGAATCATCTAGAACATTCCAGAACCTAGGATCCTTCGGATTCCTTCTGAATCCTTTAGAATCCGTCAAGATCCTCTAGAAGCTGTCAGAATCTTCTAGAATCATCCAAAACCGTTCAGGATTCTTCAGATATCTTCAGAATACTTTAGGACCCGTCAGAACACTCTAGAATCCTTCACAATGCTCCAGAATCTTCTGGAAGCATCTAGAACCCTTCATAATCTTTGTGCATCCTTCAGGGTCCTTCAGAGCCCTTCAGAGTCCTTCAGAATTCTTCAAACATCTTCAGAATCCCGCAACATGCTTTAGAATCCGTCAGAGCTCTCCAGAATCCTTCAGAACCCTCCAGAATCTCCCACTACTCCACCCCCATTCCTTACATCCTTAAAATCAAATGGCCTCGCCATGAAGTTGGACGAAACATCAGCCACCAATGGCACGTTGTGCGATTCAGGCGCCGTCGGTGAGAATTCGATTCCATGGACCGTCTCATTGGCACAGTAGTACAGATACGCGGCCTTCTCGTCGTGCACCCATTTCTCTTGATCCGGCACAGTGACATAGGGCTTTGATGGTTGGAACACCTTCTTCACTTTGATATACTTCTCAGCTTCCTCGGCAGCTTTCGAGGACCACGCACCGGTGACGATGTAGTCGGCATGGTCATGGGAGCCCTGGAATGAGAATATGGCTTTTTTAGAATTTTCTTTCCTGCAGGGGGCGATCAGAAGCCTTCAGAAGCCTTCAGAACCACTCAGAAGGCATTAGCACCCTGTAGAATCCTTCAGAAACCGTCTAGAAGCTTCTAGAAGCCTTCAGAAGCTTTCATAATCATCTAGACTCGTTCAGAAGCCTTTAGAAACCTTTATAATCGTTTAGAAGCCTTTAAAAGTTTTCAAAACCCTCTAGAACCATCTAGAAGCTTCCAGGAGAATTCAGAATTCTCTAGAAGCCTTTGGAATCCACCAGAAGCCTTCGGAAGCCATCAGAACCTCTCAGAAGACATTAGAACCCTATAGAATCCTTCAGAATCCGTTAAAAGCCTCTAGCCTCCAGAAAGCCTCCAGAAGCCTTCAGGATCGTTGAGAATCTGTTAAAATGTTCTAGAATCATTTTGAAGCTTCCAGAAGCATTCAGAGACCTTCCAGGACCTTCTAGAATCTTTAAAAAATGCTCCAGAAACCAAAAACTTCATTCTTCAAAATTGACCAACTAGGAAAATGATCTGAAATCGAGTATTTTGGCTAAATATAGGTCAAAAAAGCTGAAAAAATCACTCAATTTTCAGTGCAAACAGGCTGAAAATGGCTCAATTTTGAGCTAAAATAGCTTTAAAATGAGTCGCTAAAAATAGGTAAAAAACGCTGAAAAATCACTCAATTTTTAGTCAAAATATGGCTAAATTCTGAGCTTAAATGGCTACAAAATGAGTCGAAATTCGCTAAAAATAAGGCAAAACCAGCGAAAAATGGGTTAAATTTGAGCTGAAAAGCAAAATTCCCCGAATTCTCCCTCTAATAAACATGTTTCCTTCTTTTTTTCCCTATCCATAGATCATCCACACAAACCTTTAGATTCAAAGGAATCGCGGCGAATTGACCGGTTCCGCCGCCTTGCATGAAGAGAATTTCAAAGTTGTCGGGCACGTTCCTGCAAGGGAGATAAGATACATATATAGATCGTGATAAGGGGAATAATGATATCATATGGAAAAATTGGATTCCCAGAGCCGTAAATCCAATTTTTCGAGCCAAAAATTGAGATTTTCCGGTGAAAATTCGAATTATTTTTAGAGCTAAAAATGGGGTTTTCGGACCGGAAAAAGTGATTTTCTAGTGAAAAATTGGGTTTTTAAACCCGAAAAAGGAGATTTTCGACTCTAAAAATCCCATTTTTAGAGCTAAAAATTGGATTTTCAAATGAAAATTTGGAGTTTTGAACACTGAAAACGGGATTTTTGGACCGAAAATTAAGATTTTTAGAGTTAAAAATGTGATTTTTTGAGCCAAAAATTGAGATTTTCTGGTGAAAATTCGGATTTATAGAGCTAAAAATGGGATTTTTAGAGTCGAAGATTAAAATTTTCCAGTGAAAATTAGGATTTTTGGACGGGAAAATCTAGAAAAATGCGATTTTTAGACTCAAAAAATTGAGATTTTCTAGTGAAAAATCGCATTTTCAAAGCCGAAAATTAAGATTTTGTGGTGGACACCACGATTTTTAAAGCTAAAAAGGGGATTTTTGGACCGAAAATTAAGATTTTAAAGGGAAAATTAGGATTTTTGACTCTAAAAATCCGATTTTTCGAGTTGAAAATTGAGATTTTCTGGTGAAAATTCGGATTTTTAGAGCTAAATGGGATTCTCGGACCGGAAAAACGAGTTTTTTATACTCTAAAAATAGAGATTTCCCAGTGAAAAATCGCATTTTCAAAGCCGAAATTCCGGATTTTTCTAACCGAAAAAGGAGATTTTCGACTCTAATAATCCCATTTTTAGAGCCCAAAATTGAGATTTCCCGGAGAAAATTAGGCAATTACTCTTTGACTCCACATTCTCTTTGACTACAAAGTCTCTTTGACTACACTTTTTTAAATTTTAAAATTTTCTGCAGTTTTTGTGGGCGTTCTCACAGAATATAAGAAGAATTTGAGCCTAAGCCTATAATTTTAAACAAAAAACTGACAATTCCAAAAATACATAAAAGTGAAAAAAGTACTGAAATTCGCGAAAATCAGCAAAATTCTCACTTTTTTTTTCGCTGAGATTTCCAAATTTTTATTATTTTCTGTACAAATCAAAGGCTTAGGCTGAAACGGTTACCGTAAAACTGGTGTTTTAGCCTAATCCTACAATTTGAGACAAAAATCGGAAACTCCAATAAATTCAGTCAAAAAGTACTATAAAACAAAAAAGTGTAGTCAAAGAGACTTTGTAGTCAAAGAGAATGTGGAGTCAAAGAGTAATTGCCAGAAAATTAGAATTTTTGGGCTGAAAAAACTGAAAAAATGGGATTTTCAGACACTAAAATTGAGATTTTCTAGTGAAAAACAGGATTTTCAAAGCCGGAATTCAGGATATTTTAAAGAGAAAAAGAAGATTTTTCACTTAAAAAAAACTCTAAACCCCCATTTTCAGAGCCAAAAATCGAAAATTTCCAGTGTGAATTTGAGATTTTTAGAACCAAAAACTGAAATTTTTAGAAGGAATAAATTTGAATTTTTGGACGGAAAAATGTGATTTTAAGAGCCAAAAATCTGGGATTTTCAACTCACATGAGCTCGCGAATCAAGCTGATCGTCTCGTTGAGCAGCGCTCCGAATTCCTTGGATCTATGCGACATTTCTGAAGAAAATGGGAATTTTTGGGATTTAAGACAGATTTTCAGCACAAAAATCATTATTTTTGACCGAAAATCTTGTTTTTCAGCGATTTTAAGCCAATTTTATTGGATTTTTAGCACATTTTTGGCCAAATTCTCTTACCAATGACACTGACACCGAGCCCATTGAAATTGAGCTGCTCCTCTTGCATTTTCAGCAGGACTTCTTCGGGAAGCTTCGCTGGTCCCGCAGCGAAATTGATTTTTCGTCCTTCCAGAGACATTTTGCAGGGGGGTTAGTAGAGTTTTCTAGCACTGAAAATGGGGCAAATTTGAAGGAAAAACGGGCCAAAATTCAACAAAAAAGTCTGAAAATTGCAGAAAAGGGTGTGCGATTACTGTAGAAATCGAAGTCTGCATTGCACCACAATCGACGCCAAGAGATTTTTCAACGAATTTCGGGATTTATTTTTGGGAGAATTATTCAGAAGGTTTTCAGCAATTTTTCAAGGGTTTAACTGATTTTTGTTGTGAAAATATTGAATTTTCAATTTTTGAAATAGAGTTTTGCTAATTTTCTATGTAATACCATCAGATTTCAATGGTAAAATTAAGAAATTTAATTTTTCCTTAAAAAAAGCCGAATTTTCAGCTGTTTTTCTAGCAAAAAATATCAGAAATCACATGGTTTTCTTCATAAACACCCCAAAAAAACTGTTTGTCCTCCCAGGTACAACCGCACCGAACAATACAATGACGAGGCGATAAAAATGATGGACAAGGGGAAAAGGGGGTGGGAACACAACACAGATATTATCATTTATTTGGACAGAATAGACAAGAAAAGTGTGTCGAAAGTCACGTAGACCGACTTTTTTGATTGTATCTACGGCCAAATATGGCTAGAGGAACGTTCATAAAGTCATATTAGATTTGCATCATTTTTGATAAGAATGATGATGAATGGTCCGTGTAGATCAAGCGATAAAAAATATGGAAAAATGGCAAAAAATTGAATAAAAACATGAAAAAAAATATATAAAAAGTCCGTTTATTAACACAGAAAATACAATTTCCTTGCTTCTATTGAACCGGAATGATCGTATTTGGTCAGCGCTGACCACTGCTTCTTATCAATTCTCTTTCTGTTTAAATTGAATAAAAAACCTGGAAAAAAAGAATGATAAGGTTTCTTACGGCTTAGACGCCGCCCTGAAAATGGCCTGACCACCAGAGAACATTTAGAACAAGAGCCTTTTTTTCCGGCTAATTTTATGGGAAAATTGTGGGTGTTCATGAGAAATTCACATGGAAAACAAAACGAAAAGCGCAGAAAAAGGAACAAAAATGAGGAGGAAATGAGAGATGGAACAGGGACAAGGAGGAAAAGAGAGAACGCTTCAGATGGGAAGAATAGACAAAAAAGAAGGAGTAGTGGTGAAAAATAGTGAGAAAATGGCAAAAAAAGAGCAAAAATGGACCTAGAAATCGAAATCTGAAATTTTTAATTTTGGAAAAATTTACTTTTTCTTGATTTTCCCTCTGAAAACTGCTAATTTTACATGGAAAACGATCTAAAACTGTCTTTTCCACATTCAAAGTACAAATTTTTAACAAAAAAATCAGTAAAAACCATTGAAAAATCGCTGAAATCCTCGTTTTTTTCCCGAAAAAAATCCAGAAAATTCGTTGAAAAATCCTTGGCGTCGATTGTGGTGCAATGCAGATTTCGTCCTCTACAGTAGTCCGAACTTCAATTTTCAGATTTTCAGCTCGAAAATACATCTTAAAACAGTGAAATTTGTCAAGAAATTTAGAAAAATTAATTTTTAACAGTTTCAATTGTGTTCAGTGCCTAAATTTGAAATAAAACCCCAAAAACTAGCTTCTGACCTCCCGCTATAATGCACTGTCGTAAGCTATAACGCACTGTACGCAAATGCAGATTTCAAGTTCTACAGTAGTCGCCGACGTGGAAAATGCGTGGAATTTCAGAATTTCAGCTGAAAACCTAGAAAAATCGAAAATTTCAAGCTCAAAATCTTTTCAGAATGCGTCCAGATATTCTTCTTAGGCTAGTTCTAGGGATTATAGTCGTCGGAGGTTCTGAAAAATCAGTAAAAACCAGTATACACTCAAAATGGAGCCAGACTTCGATCTTGGCGGAAATTAGGTGGGTTTTCGGGGTTTTAAGAAGTAGAATATGCAATTTTCAGTGAGTTTTTGGCCGGTGAAGATGAGGATTTGTTCTGGAAATTTGTGGATATTATAAATGCGAATCCGATGGAAAATTGTGGGTTTTTAGCTTTAAAATCTTCCTAAAAATCGATTTTCTTCAGCATCTGACGTCTCTTTATACAATTTCGGAATTTCAACGGCTTCAAGTCTTCTCGATGCTTCAGAATATCCCTTGCTTCGCTTCTCGATAGCTTCTAGGATATTCTCACCAAGAATTGAAGTCCATCGACAGATTTCTAAAAAATTCCAGCCGAATTCTTGCAAAAACACATTTTTCGTCTATGGAAATCAAGTTGGATGTCAACTAAGCGAGCTAAATTTCAAGGAATATTCTGGAAATGCAGAGATTTTTGAATTCGATCATATTTTTCCTATGAAATCAAAAGCGAACCGCACTTTGATTATTTATGGAGTCCTGGGGACCGCGGAGCTTAAAAATATGATTTTGGAAGCGAAAATTCTGGTGGAGACTCGAGAAAATTTGAATTTCGCGCTCAGATTCCTCTCCTTGTCTTCGGGGACCACAAAAGTGTCTCTATCTGGCTACGGAGTAGAATTGGCGCTGAAAAACACGGAATACAAAGCGGTGGACCATTTGACACAGGAATTACCCGAAAATTTGCATGGATTGAACTTTCGAATTCTGAAAAACCGACACACAGACAGACACAATGAGCTGGAGTCTCTGAGAGAGAATCTAGAGAAATTGGGGGAGATTGTGCCGTTGAAACAGTGGCAACTGAAGGATTTAGGGTTGAAGACGTGCGAGAGGATTCAGGAGGATTCGATGGAGTTGGAGGAGATTGAACGGGTTTTGCAGGATTTTCCGATTCATGCGAGGTACGGATTTTCGCTGGGAATCGCTTAAAATCCTTTGTACAACTGCAAATAACTGAAAATAGGTGGAAAACCCGGAAAAAAATCTGAAAATAAGTGGAAAAATACCTGAAAAAGGTCAAAAATAACCCAAAAAAGTCAAACTTTGGACATCCGGACACTTGGAAATCCGGAAAAAAACAATTTTTTTCTAAATTTTCCGGAGTTAAAAATCAAAAAATTTTTTCGAGTTTTTTTTTGATATTTTTTTGATATAATCCAAAACACAAAAAATAATGGAGGAAATTGTATTGAGAGCTCAAAATTTGGCACAAAATGACAAAATATTTGCTATCGGGCCTTGAAAATTTCCTCAGGTCCGGGCTTTGGCGGGCCGACCCGGAATTTTACAAGTATGGATTTTTGAACTTTCTGGAAATTTCAAAAAATGTTAATTTTGGAAAATTTTTGGAAATTTTGAGTTTTAAGATTTTTCCTATTTTTTTGATTCTCTGAAATATCAGATTTTTCGCAATTTTTCAAAATTTTGAAATTCCTAAAAATTGAAAATTTCAAAAAAAAATTTTCAGAATTTCAAAATTTTGAAAATTCAGAAGTTCTGTTTTTTTTCAAATTTTTGAATTTTTTAAAATCTGAAAAAATTCCCAAATTCAAGTTTCCGCTATTTTCAGAACAATTTCCCATCGATCTCTCAACGAATCGTTCACAAAACCGATTCAAAAATTTCAAAAAACTCTAAAATCGGCTGGAATCGGAAATGGAGAGAATCTATTGGCTTTAAACGGACGAATCCTATCAAAAAGTGACTCAAAAATCGATTTATTCGAATTAATCGAAAGATGAAAACGGAGAAAAAAGTGATGGATCGACTAATAGAGATTGGTTCGGTTTCAGAGGATTCAGAGGTCAGAAATGGCTGAAAATTTGAAAAAATGTAAAACTCAATTTTCAGATCGACTACTCAAAATTGCTCACTCTATTCGATTTCAGCCCCATTGCTATATCGAAAAATGCGTTTGATTATCGAAAAACGAAACCAGTGGTAAGAAAAGTTCAATTTTATCGAGGGAAAATGCAAAAATTGGAGAATTTCAGCAAAAAATCGGCTTTTTTCGAGATATTTCAGTCTGGAAATGTGTTTTTTTTTTCAAAAATTCGGAAAAATTAAGAAATTTTTTTCTAGGAGAAAACTGAAATTTCGAAAATTTCGAAAAATGATTTTTTGAAAACTTGAATTTTCAGAATTTTGAAAATTTCAAAAAATCGGAAAAATCAAAAATTCGGATATTTGGTGAAACTCTTAAAATTAGACATTTAGAAAATTCATAAAACTCTAAAAACTAGAAATTCGAAAGAAAAATGGGTCAAAATTCATGAAAAATGGTCCAAAATTCATGAAAAATGACCCGAAATTCGCCAAAAAAATGTTGCGATTTCACGAAATTCTGGAATTCACAAATTCCTGAAATTCTGAAAACCTGAAAAAATTCGAATTTTTTGAAAATTTATATAATTATGAAAACCAAAAATTCGGAATTCTTAGAATCCAAAAAATCCGATTTTCCAGCCAATTTTCAGCGATATTCAAGTTTTCCCTTTTTCAGTTCCTCAACGATCTGGAATCCTTCCTAAGCCCCTATCGATCGCTTCATCTGCTCCTCCAACCATTTCCATCCGATCAAATCCGCCCAATCGCTCGAAACATTTTCAATTTGATCCTTTTTATCGATCCATTTGATTCCGAAGACAAATTGCTCGATTTGGCTCAAAAATATCTCAAGGGCAAGGTTTTTATAAGGTAATTCTCGAACATCGGGACATTTGGAAACACAGATGGGACTATTTCAGAATTGGTTTGGTCCCATTTTTCAACGAAAACAAATGGGGAGTGAGTGTCCAGGAGGGTGTGAACTCGAAGGAAATTTCAAAGGAGGCGAGAAAAATTTGGAAGACAAATGAGGACATTTTGAAGGCGTTAAAGGTGAAAATCGAGGGAAAATGAGCTGAAATTTTGATTCAAAATTGCAAAAAAATTGAAAAAGAAACTGAAAATGGCTGAAAATAGCGTTTCTGAAATCGAAATTAGGTTGAAATCAAGTCAAATTTCAGTTTGCTAAAGGGTTAGAATACTATAGGAGTTGAAGGATTACTGTAGGAGTTGAAGGACTACTGTAGAAGTCAAAAGGCTACGGTATGAGTTGAAGGATTACTGTAGGAGTTGAAGGACTACTGTAGAAGTCAAAAGGCTACGGTATGAGTTGAAGGATTACTGTAGGAGTTGAAGGACTACTGTAGAAGTTGAAGGATTACTGTAGAAGTCAAAAGGTTACGGTAGGAGTTAAAGAACTAACTGTATCAATCAAAGGATTACAGTAGGAATTTAAGGATTACTGTAGGAACTCAAGTATTACTGTACGAGTTGAAGCATTACTGTAAGAGTTCAGGATTACTGTGAGAGAATTTTCAAAAATTTCGAATTTTGACGTTTTGCTACGAAACCAGCCAATTTCGGAGTACTGTAGCAATCTGAAACTGCAAAATAATATTGGCTGATTTAGGGCTCAAAACTAGCAAAAAACACCAACCTTCAAAATCATCTAACCTTGGTTACTGTAGTAACTCAAGGAGGACTGTACGAGTTGAAGGATTACTGTAGGAGTTGAAGGACTACTGTAGGAGTTGAAGGATTACTGTAGGTGTTGGAGGATTACTTTAGGGAGTGAAGGATTAATGTAGGGGTTGAAGGATTACTGTAGGAGTTGAAAGATTACTATAGGAACCGTGAATCGAAATTGTGACGTTTGCTGAGAAATCAGCGAATTTTGGTTTATTGTAGCGGCTGAAAAACTGTGACAAATTGGAAAAATAAATCTCGAAACTAGTGAAAAAAATCATCTTATTTTGGTTACTGTACCAATGTAAAATTTGCAAAGAAAATATATATTGGGTTACTCTACTTCTTCTCTCAAAAAAAGAGATGTGCGTTCGGGGGGAATCGAACCCCCGTCGAATGCTTGGAAGGCATCCATGCTGACCATTACACCACGAACGCATAGAACATCTTCTAGAAGATTCTAAAGACAATATGAAACCGTTATCTCCGCTAGGTTCACTTCCTCGCCGAAAGGAAATGGAAAATCTA